ACCTCAAATTTCCTTTGAGGAAGTGAGATGTCATTATATCCAGCTGAAGATGAGAAATTTTAAACTGACTGGAAATCATTGAATGTTTTGAAAAAGACGAGGGCTTTGCTGACTGAAAGGCTGACTGAAACCTCTTTCACCCTCCACACAAAGCATGTTTCCTCACCCTACCTGTTCCCATACACATATACACAAACGTAAGGATATGCATTCACAAAATCACAAATACAAGCCAAAGAAAATGAAATTATCTATTATGTGCTTCTGCTCCTCCCAGCCACATATTACTCTCATTGCTTCATGCAGGACAGCTGATACTACCACTGAATTACCCAAAATATTCAGGGTGACTCATGGCACTGAGTCCACTTGTGCTGTCTGGTTTAGGTGACCTTAGAGGGGGTTACGAGGGAGGGAAGCCTGGCAGAGATGGTACTGCTGAAGACAACAGGTTCTATCATAGGATCAAACTGTTAGCCAGGCTAAAAAAATGTTTCTCTACAGACTCAAAAACCACTTCATTTTCTGATGGGAAATGAGGGTACCACTTCTCCTTGTGCCTTGAAAAAGCTTGGCATGTAACAGTCAACCCTTCTAATATCATTCAATATGACTGAAAGGGTAAAGAAGTAACTCTTTTCCTAGTTAAGTATTGACTTTCTCAGAGAGGACAAAATTTACAAAACACTTTTTTTCTAGGATTTCTAGTAAGAAGATTTGCAGAAAACACTTTATAATGTATTTGGAAAAACTAAAAAAGGAAGACTACTTCATGGTTTGCCTGGCTAACTGTAGTCGGAAACTTTGGGTTTATTCTTCATTTCTGATTGTTAAATATCTGCAATTAATTTTAAAATATTTAGAATTCCCATAGGCTTAGTGAGTGAGTTCATCTTTGAGAGAATCACTTGCAGAATATACCTTTTCAATAAACTCATCAGTAGGAAACTCTTCTTAGCTGTTTTCTACAGAGAACAAACTCAATTCCCTTTTGACTTTATATCACATTTTAATTCCCTGCACACTTAGGTGTGAGATCAGAGTCCAGGCACAAATATCAGCAGATATTGGGAGGGAAGCATATGTCATTCCCACCTATGTGAGACATCTTTCACATAGGGAAAGTAGTCAAGGGACTCCAACTCACATTGCTGTAAAAACGTCCTCCTTTCCCTTTCTCCCTTCATCAGGCTTCTCAGAATGTGAAGTCTCTTAATGTGTTCCTACAGCACACAGTTTAACCCATTGAAACAACATGCCTTTGAGCACACAGAAGTTGACTTATTACTGCAAGTGTCTGAAGTATAATCACTGTGATATTAAAGCTATAACAAGGATATTTTAATAAGATTAAATGCATCCATTTTCAGAAAACAAAACAAAGCAAAACAAAACCATGCTGAAGGAGGTAGAGAACAGAGAGAACAGAATTAGTATTATCCTTTTTGATACCTCTTTATTTTATAAAATATTGCACACATGAGTTACACAAGTTGAGATGAGAAATGTTCATCTCTGCTGGGGACGTCTTTCAAAGCAATTATTCATAAAATGTATAACATACAATTACAGAATAGTAACTAGTATGTACCCTTGGGGAAATGAGACAAGCTGTATATGTGTATGTGTATGTGTTGCAAACACACTTGCAGAGGGAATGGGTACCTCAAATGGGCTGCAAATCCTCTTCTTCTCGGGGTTCTCATCAAGTGCCACTGACTGCAAGGCTCCCTCTGGCATCAGTGAGAATGGGAACCGAAGCACCAAAAACGTTCATTTTAAATTAGTATATTGGCATGGCCCTTGAACAAGAGTAACATGCAAATTCATGAAGCATTTCATATTTTTTTGGGCCAGTCCTGGCAGGGCTAGATGTAGAAAAGTGCTCTACGCTGCAGCACAAGCATGTTTAAGAATTAACACAAAAATGTCCATATTTGGTTCATTCTCTTTATCTGCATGAATTATAAATCTAAATTATAGAAGCAAAATATTTTTACTTCCAAACAACTGTTTGAGTAACAGATTTTCCTTTCTCTTCTACTCTCCCCTAATCCCTTTGTTTACTCTCATTCAAAATTATTTGTGTTATGTGATAGTGGTACAGAAAGTCTGGAAGAATCCAGAGTAGCCCACTGTATAACACACAATGAAGACAGGAGAAATCTTAAACAAAAGGAGAAGAAAAAATATTTGTGAAAGAGGGCATATCATGAAAGCAGTTCAACCTCCAGCTTTTAGCAAGCTAAAAAATGTACAGCAGGAGGAAACAGTAAAATCCAGCTACATGCCAAGGCAGCAGAAGTTCTGCCCATCATTTAATCCTCAAAGGACACCACCGTTTAGGTGCTAAACCTCCTGCTGGATTGGCACGCAGAAACAGTTACCATTCTTGGAGAGCATGTTGCTGAGAGCCTCTCAGACTGTCTTAATCTCTTTCCTCTTGCAATGCAGGGAGCATTTTTCATCCTGACCTGCAGTCACTGACTATCACACACTTCTGTGCCTGCTTATAATGCAAAGGCTGGAATGCTGGATGAGGAAAACCAAATTTTCCACTATTGTTCTGAATATGGGATCACTGTGATAAGGGTTTGGGCTTAGGAAAATATGATGAAAAGGACTATCCTTCCACATTTGTGTGAGTCCTTTTTTTACAAAGAAGGTGAGGGAAACTTCCAAGCATGTGACATTACAGAATCTAACAAGAAGACAACTGTGATTATGGTTTCAAAGTCCTCTCACTGGGAGAAACAGAGAGTGAATGATTGAAGTCAGCACTGAGATTGTAGAAGGCAGAAAGGCAGGCTGTCCTCCATGCTGCAGAAGGCTGTGTTTGTATACATTAGCACGTGGTGCAGGTTTTGCAACCTGTTACCATGCCCTTTGCTTAGTGCAAGAATCGTTCCAGATCAGGAGAAGGTCCTAGGTACCTGGACTCACACCATGATCCACACACAAGATCTGACCCTGCCCTCTCTGAAGAGAGTGACTGAATGTCTGCTCATCTCAAGCACTGAAAGGATCTCTAATGTGCACCCTTCCTTACAGAGATGGAGCAGGTGCTGGGCTGCAAACTAGGTCTCAGCTTGGCAGATGCTGCAGGCACCCCCACTCAGCTGGGGATGCCACTCAGCCCCCATCCCTCCAGACCTGCCTCCTCACTCCTTCCTCCTCGGAATGGGGAGGACAGAAAGGTAGCTAATACAGCCTAACAGAATTTAATGCTGAGCACTGTGAGGTGGTCATACTGTGACAACAGGAGCTACATAATGAACTCCAGTACTATTTTATTTAAACCTAGGGCTTAGGTGTCTTCGAGATTATTTGTTTTTACCATCCAAACCTCAGTAAACTGTTTTGTCACAGTAGCATGATGGTAGGACTGCTAAATGAGTAAGACAGCACTGGTCATTTTCTGTTCACTGTGCAAACATCCAGGCTCTTTTAGCACATCAGTATTTTGCAGCCCAAACGTCCTCTTTCTTCCCACTGTCTTGGGTATTTGCAAGGTCTTTGCTCTGAGTGAAATTGACACCAGTGGTCTGAAAATATTAAACTTATGCTCTTGTGGCCACAACCAGCACGAATATGGTTATTTAGAAGGGGTAAAAAAGAAGGAAACAACCAGGAGAGCAGTAGAGGAGGCTACATTCTTTCCAGTTTTGTTGCTAATAATAGTTAGCAAAGATTTTTAAGCTCACCTTTCAGAAACCAAGGCTAACTGTGGGTAATCCCAGAGATGGCTGCTCTGCACTGCTTTTTGGATAGACTCAAACAGCATGTCACCGTTACAGAAGCCACACTAAACTCTTATTCAATGGTGCTCCTGCTCTGCAGTCATAATGCACATCCCTGCCTCGGGCTTTATTTTGTATCAGCAATGAGACTCTGGGACAACTGCTCTTCACTCCTCAAGGAGCTAAAGGGTAAAACCTGTACTCAGAGGAATACAATTTTCTCTGGCACTAAAGTATGAATTACAATTTGAAGAACTTTTAGCAAAGAAACAACATTTGGCATTTGGAGGTTGGCTGCAGACTATGTATAACTGAGTCAGTCTCATCTTTGCCCTGCAGATGAACAGTCTGCAAAACTTCTTGGGTGGAGTGTGAACTCCCATTTTTTCCATCTTCTCCTAACTGGCTGGTTGTCTCTGAAGACCATTAATGACAGATGTCCACCTTCCTTATTTCTGTGTCTCTAAGCTGTAGCACAGGAAGGGTGTCCAGCAAACATTGTAGTGGGACTTAGGTGCTGCTGTCAGGAAAGGAAAACCACAAATAGAAGGCAAAGATTGAAAAGGAAAAGGAGAGAAACTACATAATCTGCCACATTTCTGCAAGAGGGCCTGCATTGCTCCATGCTTTTTGCACATTGAGGACCATACTGCCTGTAGAGGCAAACAAATACACATCAGACACATATGAGGTGCAGGACCAGGTCTTTGGGATGAATTTCTCCCTTAGCATCAAATGGCCTCGTTGTTGCAGAGGAAGGCAAGAAAGATGGGATGTAATGCTTAAGGAAAGCTTTTGGGTGAGACCTTAACAAAGATTAAATGAACCTCACTGCGGATTCCCACTTTTGAAAATGGAAGGATTTATGCTTGACAGGAGTTTGCCCATCTGTGTACTATGAGATGCAGGTGGCTGCCAGTGGTTCTGCAGGCTCCTGTTTTGGCTCTATGAGTGCTATTGTCATGCGAGAAGGTGAAAGCTAAAAGGAAGAAGAAAGGGGTCTATGGCTTCAGAAACGTCCTTTTTCTGGAAAAGGATAAGTATGCAAAAACAAAATAGTAAACAGTATGCAAAAATAAAATAATAAACATATCCCCAAAATAAGATTGAATTCTGCAATCTTTTTTTAAACCATACTTGAAAACATATGAGGAAGGGAAGAAAAAGGCAAAAGCCCAGAGCATAAATGCAGAAAGACATGGACAGACCCACTAGGAAGGGAAGTGTCACCATTGAAACATTGGTTGGCTTTCCTGGGGAACTCTGTGCTCCTGGAAATGCTTAATATAGGTACACCTTCACCAACGTAAGGAGTCTTGGCTTGGTGGCCAGAGGTCAGCCCTGTTGTTTTGGACAGTCCCACCCAGGGAGGTGCCTAAGGGGAAGCAGTTCACCTCTTGCTTGGTAGAGGAACGAGCTGTTTCTTTTCCCCTGAAGTGGGATTTGTGTGAAGCCACCATCACTCAGGAGCTCATGGGCTGGTCCAAGTCACTCTGGATAGTTTGACACAGGAGACAAGGAAGAAAGTGCAAGCAAACACACCCCTCAGACCGACATGTTGGCCACAGCCCTCTCGTACATGCGCTCCAAGATGCGGTGGATGCTAGCAAAGCTCGGCCGGTCGGCAGGCAGCTTGCTCCAGCAGAGACGCATCAGGTTGTAGAGCTCCAGGGGACAATTGTCTGGGCAGGAGAGGACATTCCCATCCCTCACGTAGTAGATGACCTCTTCATGGGCCATCCCATAGTAGGGCTGCATGCCATAGGAGAAGATCTCCCACAGCACCACTCCATAGGCCCACACATCAGACTCTGTGGTGTAGCGGTTGTAGAAAATGGACTCGGGGGGCATCCAGCGGATGGGGATGGCGTCATTCTCGTTTGCTTTGTAATAGTCAGCTGAATACATGTTCCTTGAAAGACCAAAATCAGCAATTTTGACCACCATGTTCTCCCCCACCAGACAGTTCCTGGTGGCCAAATCTCGGTGCACAAATTTGCGCTCAGAGAGGTATGCCATGCCAGCAGCAACCTGCTTGGCAATGCAGAGCTGGCTGGTGCAGCACAGTGCCAAGGGGTTAGGGAGGCGAATCCTTGTGTCCAGACTGCTGTGTACCAGGCTGCAGAGGTTGCGGGGCGAGCGGTCACGCAGGTACTCATTTAGATCCCCATAGGCCATGTACTCGAACAGCAGGCACATCGGTTTCCCAACAGCACACACACCTGGAAGAGGATAGATACACCACACAGGTCACTTGGGTAGCAAAGAGAGTTTCGCTGTGCAAAACCCAAAAGGTCCAAAAATGCTTACACGAAAGGGAGACTTTCAACAGTGCATGAAGAGCCAGGAAAAAAAGGTAACCATGCAAATACCATCAAGTCTGCGTGCATCCATCATGCATGCTCTCTCTTTGAATCTCCTTCACAAGGGGTCTAATGCTGAACTCTGTGGGAAATGTTAACCAATCATGCACTTGACTGATTTGTCTGGACATCCCAGGAAAAATATACACTTTTGGAGCTATGTTTAATTAAGAGCCAGATCGTGCTTAAGTTAGCATTAACAGAAATATTTCCTCTTCCCAGGTGCAACTGAAAGGGCATATTTTCAGGAAGTAACCTTTATAGTTTTAATCATGTTATTTTTTTATTCCTTTATTTGTTGTCATTATTGTACTAATTATTATAATTAGTACTAATACTAACACATAGATGCAATACATATGCAGAAAGACTTCAAAAGTAATCACAAGAGGCATGTTCAAGGATTCAGTGAAATGCAAAGAAACTTCCACTACAACCTCTTCTGGATTTTTCTCTTTTTTTTAAATAGCTCATGGAAAAAATGTCAGTTGCAGAAATTACTTTTAGCATGAAAGAGACTCAAAAATTAAAGAAAGACAAAGAAAAAGCAGACATCAGAAAGGAGACTTTTTTCGTATCTGATAGATGCAGAACCTAGTCCCACTGAAGGGCACATGCTTGGTTTTACATGAGCTTTATTGGTAGGCCAGTTTCAGTAGAAGACCACACTTCCATCAGCGTTACTGAGAATACAGTGATATGGTAAAAAATATTTGTGTGCTTCTCATTAAATTGCCAATGAGCAAAAGCCAACATTTAAAATGTATGTGTTTTGCTTTCTTAAGGCCATCACTTAGCAACTGGTTATTCAACTTACTTTGAAATCAGAAATTCTGGCTGATAGCATAACATTTATATCTTTGAAGATAAATAGATATCTATTCCCAATGCGATGAAATCAGGATCTGACAAGCGTGAGAAGTGTACATGAGAGATTTACCATCTAAGCGGCCTTCAACAATGTGGCTGTTTTCTCCACAGCCCCATAATGTGACACAAGTTTGTTCCTGTACCTTTGCCCTTTCCTGACCTAAAACGTGTTGACAATAAACACAAAGTTTATTTGAGTTTGAGGCATTTCCTGACTTTTTTTTTCTGTAGCCCAACTACCTGTATCAACCCAGATTTCCCAAAACTGTGGTTTATCTATTTCAAATCTAATTCAAAATTACTGAAATAAATTAAGATCTCAGCTACTTGCTCACAGGTATGAGATCTGCATACAAAAACTTAGAGCAGGATTGCCAGGTGAAGGTGGCCAGTAGCATCTACTTCCAACAAAAATGGCAATTTACTGAAAGAAAATTTGGTCCACAGTTTTCTTCACAGAAGAATGCCATATTTGCCAAGCTGCAACATCAAGACTTTCTAAAAGAAAACAATAAAGCAAGGTTCCTTTCAGATGAGAAGGGAAAGGGAAGGGGAAGGAAAAGGGGAAGGGGAAAGGACCATTTTTGTGGTTGGCTTTTTTTGTTCATTTGTTTAATTCTGTTTTTTTAATGGTGGTGAATGTTCAGACATCACAATAGTATGGGACCCATAAAGCTAACAAGACTGGTGCCTGTGTTTTTTAAGTACCCACAAAATAAATCACAGCTCCAGGAAGTTCATGTCTTCACTGTAAGACATCTATGTCAATGTTATTGAAGTGGAAGCAGAGCTAAGCAGCAAGATTGCCAACAGAATACTAAATGCAGCATGAGGAGAGTTTAATGTGATGCACCATCCTGTTAAGATAGCAGCATCAGATCCACATTTTGAGCCTCATTTTGGTGGACAATTTAGCAGAGCATACAATGGCACATAGAAAACGTCAGGTCTTTGCAGGAGGAATTTTCTCCTGCACTACCACTTGCATTTAGCTCCAGTCACTTGCACCACCAATAGCCCCACAGCAGATTTGCAGAAGGTGGCACCCTGTACATGGGTGCCTCACTGAGATACCTAAAAGCTTGACAATATTTGGATTGTCAAACTCTGCCATGAGAGCTGCTTCCCTCTGAAAGTCGGCCTGCATGTCTGCAGATGCTTCCTCCTTCAGCATTTTTACTGCCACCATTGTGAAAGGCTCATAGGGCAGCAACCCTGGGGCCCTGCAAGGAGACGAAAAAGAGGAAAGCATCAGTGGTGAATGCATACACTCTAAATGCAGGTTCTGTTTCTGATGCAAAAGGATGCACTGACAGAAAAAAAAAAAAAAAGAAAAAGAAAAGAATTTTTAAAAATAAGGGGGAAGGCCCCAGCACCAACTAAAGGAATATTAAATACTATCCTCACCATTTGGGCATGTCTGCATTGCATATTAGAGAGACATATCATTTAGTTCAAAGGGGACTAAATCCAGTTTAACTTTTTTTGATTACTATTATTTCTGCTTACAGACTCATTACTGTGACTGGTAAAGACATAAATAAGTAACACACTGTTAAGCAACAACCTCTCCCTAGGTTGGAGGTCACACCCTAAAGTTTATAGAGGACAGGATGGACTCTTCAGTCCAGACAATTCACTTTTGGGGTGTAATGACTGAACTTACCAGAGTTAAAAATAAACCTATTTTATATAAAATTGATGAAATAGTCTCCTTTCTCCTACCTGGCACAGTGGTGACTTTGGTACATCCACCTACTATTAAAGTGAAAGTAACAATTACAGTAAGTATGTCCCCCTGGTTTTGCAAGGAAAACAGCCTTTTGTCACTAGTGTGTGTGTGTGTGTGTGTGTGTGATATCTGTCCCTGTAATTCAACAAGTTATAAACCCATTAGCTAATTTCAGCTGAACTTAATGTGGTGTAGCTGAGGTCTATAGAAAATAGTTATACTCCTGCAAGTTTTGTGGAAATGTGTGACAGGACAGAAGGGACAAAGCATATCTGTGCCCTGTCTGAAGAACAAGGTAATGTGCAAATACACACATGGTGTGATACTGGTGAATCTTCAGCTAGAGCTTATAGACACAAATTCACAGGAATTTGTGTCTGACTTAGAGCAATCATAGTCTTGTTTTCTTACCCACAAGTCACTGTACCCTCAAGATTAGTTAGATGGGCTTGCCAAAGATTTAGGTGTAGCTGTTGCCAAAGAAGAGTAACTTTCTACTTTTCAAACATGAATCGAACATCAAATGCACATTTTGTTGCCCACGCAAACTCTTCCCAGGGGCCCTGAAGATAAAACACATTCCTTACTGGTAGCCAGCAAGAGCCCATGGAAAATAATGTCCATTTATGTGTCATGTTACTACACCAGCCCGACTTCCCTCCCATTGCTCAAATGCCAGGTCATTTTACTGCTCAGTAGCACCAAGAGGAGACTCCAATTTCCAAAGCAAACTTCCAGTTTCATTGTCATTTACTTCATACATATGGCAGTTGCAACAGTTGTACTTGGATGCTGGAAATGTCAAATGTCAGTGGATGGCAGGGGGCCCTTCAGAAAGGAATCTCACAGGTGGCTGATCACAGCTGAAAAACTCAGGCAAGGAGGTCTGGCATGCCAGAGCAGAGGATCAGACTCCACACTTGTCTGCTACTGCCTCCATTGTGGCAAAATGTCTTCCTTTTTTTTCCCATGGTGGCAGCAGTGTCCAGTAAAAATAGGAGGGCTTTCATCTCTTCCAAACAGTCTCATAGATTACCACCCATCACTGACTAGCAGACCCAGTGCAGTGCCAAAGCAGGGGCAGGCACAGTTTGGTCTTGCAAGCTTTGAACAGAGAAACTTGCTCCAGGCTTATGTACACCCAACCAGCTTCACTGAATCCTGTAGTGTAAACTAACCTAAATATAACTAAGTGAGATTAAGCTGCACAAAGTCTTTTATTTGGCCTTCAGGCAACAGCAAAAAATTTCACCCTTGGTATCTCATGCTAATTCAGCCCAGTTCTTAGCAGACCTGGGAAACTCACGCTGATCTGGCAGACACAGAAACTGTCTGAACTCTTGGCAGACCACTATCAAAGTTGGCCCATTTGGTGCCCAAAAGTCAGTCTTTGCACAAACAGCTGGGACACATCTGCAGGAGAGCAATGGGAAGCTGCTGCCTCTGCACCAGGAGAATTCAGGTGGAGGTCCAGAAAGTGAAGTGTTTTCTAAAAAATAGGTAAATTCTCCTCTAGAGAAAAAAATAGGTTCATTTTCTTCTAGAACTAGGGAAGCAACCAAAGAAATTATCTTGGGTTTCCTTTCTTGCAGTTAAATTCTGAGGAGAAATGTCCACTGTTTGTGGACAGGATGGATAGCCACAGTCCTTGACTGCTTCACCATCAATGGATTTATGCACCAGTGGCAGCATTTGGTTTTTAGGTACCTACCATTCAAAGAACTAACCAGTGGTGCAGTTAGGAATTTCACCCTGAGCCTACCTACAGAGGGTGCCTGACTTAAGTTCCAAGTCAGGTTTTCTTTCCAGAGCATGAAAAGAAATGAGTAGTTTGAACCTGAATTTGAGATTGACTCCTGTCCACATCTTCCTTGGCAGCACAGCTGGGTAACTTCTGTTAGATCATTAAATGATGCAATTAACATCTACTGAGTCTGGTGGAGACCCACCTTTTCCCTATCCTTTGGTTAAATTTGTATGTGGAAAGGAGAGTGCTCTGAACTGGCAGGGGCTCATTTTGTCATTCTTTTTTTCTGTTTTTCTGTTGGTTTTTTTGTTTGATTGGGGTTTGTTGTTGTTGTTGGGTTTGGAGGAGTTTTTTATTTGTTTTTATCGATGTTGTTTTATTGGGGTTTGTTTTTGTTGTTGGGTTTGGAGGAATTTTTTATTTGTTTTTATCAATGTTGTTTTCTTGGGGTTTTTGGTTGGTTCATTGGTTGGGTTTTTGTAAGGGGGTTTTTTTGTTTATTTTGATGGTTTTTCTGGTGTTTTGTTTTGTTGTGGTTTTTTTAAAATTAACATCCCCACTGTTTTTCAGCTATATTTGAGACATCAGGTCAAAGAAACACCCTTTACAGATGGAGAGAACACCAGGAGACGTCTGCCAAGAAAATCCAACCTTAGAGACCTGCTTTGTCTCTTGCAGGAACAACGAGCTATACCTTTGCAGTGGACATCTACTAGCCTACTAGCTCAGCATCCAGGCTTTTAGGCAATCCTGGCCTGTGGTGTTAGCCTGGACAATACAGCTCCAGCTCTGGCAGAAAACTTGCATGCTGGTCTGCATTGAACTGTGTAAATCTGGTGCTCTGGTGGCTTATGCAGCCAGTGTGGTCCTCCCAGATGCAGAGTCCAGGACCCAGTTGGAACTGACCTGAGCTAGGTCCCTAATTTTTTTAAGCATGGTTACTTCCTCATCCTTTCCAGTGTAAAGCCGTTCCTGGTGAAGACAGCAGCCTTTCAGGAGAAGCTAGTAAATGATAGCCAGACACTTCCTGTCCTAACATGTTGCTTGACCCAGGAGTGAGTAAACACTGAATCAGAACTCACAGCAAGCCAACTGGCAAAGGCATTGCTGGCACTGTGAGCAGAGCTGTGTTTACAGGAGAGGGAGAAACATGAGAGCAGGAGAAGTAAGAGTATTGCTAAACTTAGCTCGAGATGACCCTTTAACACACGTAGGAAAGTACATTTTATCCTTCTGAGATGGGAAGGCAACAGTTTGAGTTGTGATAGCTTCAGTAACCTGTAAGGATACGCAGCTTGTGCTACTGGATCAGCAGTCTGCACTGATTCATCAGAGATGCACAGAAATACCAATGGCTTATTATAAGGAATTAAAATAATTATAAGTAATCATAAGGCCATGGAAAAACTTTTGATAGAAATATTAATAAAAATAAGGAATTTCCTGAGAAGCAATATTTCTGTGGCTCCTTTCTTGAGCCACAGAGGGCAAATGTTTCTCAGGGTATGGTACTCTCCACTTGGCAAATGCTGGATAACATCTGATGCTTTATTTTTCACCCCATCTCTTTTCCTGTCAGTTTCCACCATCAATAACAAAAAGGTTTAATTAAAAGAAATTGCAGCCCTGGGGTGGATAAAATCCACATAAAAGGTTCCTACACTACTTTAGCATTTGCTTAACCCAGCACTTTAGCAACATTTGAATGCCCTTTGAGAGGTCCTGCTTGATGTCCACGAGAGTCATTTCCAGCTCAGTCTGAGCAGTGCTTATATCACATTAAAGCTCCCAGTGCAGGTCCAAAGTGGCGCTTGGTAGGAAGACCGTCTGCCCTGCTTGCACATCACAGCATGATGAAGACTCCTGCCACATGAACAGGAAGGTGGTGCATCGCAAGGCACCCTGAGCACTGTGCTGAGGCTGGAACAAGAGCTGCCCTGTGCCCCTGCACCAGCTGGCGTGCAGTGCCCCACAGCTGTTGCGTAGTTTCTACAGTTTTGTTCTTGTTTCAAACTCAGATGCATTCGGCCATCCAGGCTAACAATCAATCACAGGCTAAGCATCTGTGACTTTCCCACTGCATGCCCTTTGAACTTTGTTATTTTTAGCTCACTCTGTATTAAACAAAAGTATGCTTGCATTTCTTCCATTAGAAATAATTTACCCCTTCATTAGAAAAATAAATCCATCACAGCTATTGAAACTTTTTCCCAGCTGCAACACATTTAACCTGAGCATAGCTCATTTCCTAGCAGATACTCTAACAGCATAACTATAAACATTAAAAATATCTGCATTATGATTGCTTTTTGCAAGAAGAGGCCTTTGTCTTTGAAGTCAACAGAAGCAGTTTCACCAGGCACATCTTGACCCATGGTGGGATTCCAATATTTCCCTGGGTTTTTTTGAGGTCATCGTAGACTACTCCAAATACAGCTACAAAATCAGCCACATCCCCTACTTGTTAACTGTAAAGGACTGTCCTGAGTAAGCACGAAATTAGACAGTCTCTACACTTGCTTGTAGGAATTTGGAGATGAGACGTCATGAGGAAACCAGTCCAAAGATTGTCCTGAAGAAATTATGGATTCTGTCAAGACTGTCAAGACACCTTCCATCCACCTTAGTCTAGGAAGGATTGGGTTCATCTTTAGGTTTGTCGGTTAAAGATTTTTCAGATTTCAAGAAGTGCACGATCTCACCTCCCATGAGACTTAAAAGAACTGGAATTTCAACTAATGCTTCAAATTTAAAACAGGTAACAATGGCTGCAGCTTCCAAAAATGAAAAGTGAATAATTAAAGGGGACCCTTTAGAAGACAAGAAGATAAGGGGATTAATTTATATGTCTCAAACAACAATAGCCAGATGGCTATGGAGCCAACCAAGCTGTTGCGGCTGGAGAAGGGTGCCATATGGAGCTAGGACAGCATTTTTCTGGGACAAACATCCTTGTTCTGGCTCCTGGATATAAGCACAACAGCATACAGCACAGGCATAGGAATGAGGTCAAGAAGCAGACATGGACTGTAGTGTGGGATCAAGACCATCCAAGGCCCCTAAAGCTCTCTGACCCTTTTCCAGAAGAAAGAAGAAGAAGAAAGAAGAAGAAAGAAGTTCTGGAAGAACAGACTGTGCATGCTAACTTATTTGCATAAAAGTAAGAAATTTATCTACAGGGTAGGAAAACTTATCTATAAAAAGGTAACCCTAAAAATCCTGTGTGCATGCACCCTAAGACCTTAAACATCCCATCAGCTGAAATGATGCTGGAGTCAGGGCTGGTGATGTCTCTTTCTTCCTTTCTTTCTCTCTTCCCCTCTTTAATCCATATCTCTTTATCTCACTTCCTTTTCACGCTACCCCTTTATTCAAAACCCTCTACTGTGTGCTTATATAAAAGGTTAGGGACTATAACATACCAATTTCCATGCCAGGTATGTAATTAACTCATAAAAATTTGTAAGCTTTTGTGGACCCCTCTGACTTTTGTTGTTCCTTTCAGCCACAAGCATCTACAAATCTTAGGTCTACCCTTCCCCTTAAGATTGGGACACCATAGATACACACAAAAAAAACTCTATTGGCCTAGGCTGGGTTGGTTTTTAGGGGATTTTTTGGGTTGTTTTGGCTTTGTCCCTGAATCAAAGTGAAACTCGGTTAGGACTGAACTGTAGCATGACACATTGCCTTCTGTGGTAATTACTGTCCAGTGTTGGTGTTATAATGGAGGTCACCACACACAGCTTGCAAATACTGGGAAATGCAAAAATTTCACAATAGGTCACATGTCACAGGCAATACTCGGCAAAAACAATGATGATAAAATTAGTTAAACTTTTACATTATGCTTTGGTATGTGTGTGAAGCATTACATCTACTAGAGAATAGAACAAAAGAGTAATTTGTTGAACAGAAGTTCAACAAATATCAACAGGTAGCAGAGGACAATGGAAACAATTATTCACACCTGAGTGTACTATTTGGTACACATGCATTTGATCTTGGTTTGAGTGAAAGAATGGATGAATGAGTGATTTCCAGTGCCAATTTTTCAGAGGTACCTCCAGATAACAGAGACTGCTTACCTGGCTTGGAAGACTCTCCCAAATGCTCCTTCCCCGATATCTCTCACATATTCTATATTGTTCCTGGGATACTCCAGGCTAAGCAATTTTGGATTGAGGAGAAGGGGCATGCGCTGGTACATTGGGTTGGGGTGCAGCCGGTCCAGAAGTAGTTCAGAGGGCAGAGTGGTGAGCGTTGGTGTCTCAGACTCTCTGAAACAAGGGAGTGGGTTTCAGTCAGTGTGTGCACAGCAGGGCTACTGCAAGAGCCTTGCAGCAATGTGTCATGCTGTGTTCCCAGTCACGGGGCCACCTTCAGCTCTGGCACAGGAGTTTGCCAGAACTTGCATGGGCTGCCACAGGCAAAGAGAGGGCTACTCCCCCCTACCAGGCATTTGCAGGACTTTGCTCTCAGAAACAGGCAAGCCCTCTTTCATAGCATCATTTCTTGCATTGAATTAATTCTCAAGCTTTACCTTTTTTTGGATTTCCACTGCTTTCGGTGACGGCAGCAAACCAGGGTGACAATGCCGAAGATCACAACCAGAGCAAAGCTGGAGATAATCGAGATGATGACAGTCATGGAGTACGTAGGGGAAAAGGGAGGAGAAGGGGGGAGATTTAGAGTCTCTCCATTTGGTTTTCTTGTTCCTAGTGACAACAATGCTGTAACGCAAACAAAATCAGAGGGTTATACCTCTGCTGGTTTACAGAGCTTTCTCTAAGAGGAATTTATGGAGTCAACCTGATGTCCTGGGAATTACTGACACTACAGATACATCCAAATGACTGCATGAGAGAACAATACTATGGAAGCCTGGCTTGCAGGAACCAAAACACACTTGTGCTTGCCAAATGTGAAAATCCAGGATCTGGTAAAGAGCAAGACGCAGTTCTCATTCAACTGGGAACACAGTTTTGGTATGGAATGATTGCAAGAGTTACAGATGGGAGATCACATTTGATGGCCTCAACAGTATTCAAATATAGTTATGTCTGCACTGGGAAAGATCAATGGTCTACAATGTGAACCACAATGTATCATGTGTCCTAAAAGGAATCTGCAGGGAGGAGTGTAAGACCAAGTAAGTACACAGTGATACTTTCCTGAAATATCCTCTTGCCTCTAACAATTTACATTTCAGTGTCTTTATGGGGCAAATATGGAAAACACACTTGGCTTTATCCTTAGGGGAAAAAATCACATAACTACCTGCTGAGTACTTTCTGAGACATTCTAGAAAATGGTACTCTGTATATGCAGTGATTGAGAACAGAAAGAAATTTAAACTCTTCTTTTTAAGGCCAGCTAAACTGAAAATTACCTGTGTTCACTTATGTCCATGAAACCCCTGTTCTCTGTGCAAGAAAAATTGTCTTATTTCCAAGCACTGAGATCCAGAAACTGTGAATCTCGGACAAAATATTTTTCAAAAATTATTCTGTTGTTTGGACAAGAAATAACAGAAACATTTAGTTTCAACATCGGAGAGAAAAGATGTTTCCATCTTTTGAAAATTTTTTTTTTTAGTTAAAATTGGTTTTTATATTATTGAAAAAAAATCACCCAAAATAAAACAACTTTGAAAAATAGCCCAAAACCCTACCTTCAAAACACAGTGTGGCAAATCCATTTTTCAGAATACCACAGGAAATTTTATTCCATCCTTTGGCATTTATATAATCTAAGGTAAGGTGTTCAATTTGCCTGTCTTCATTTTCCACTCTTTAGGGGCACATTATACCTTCTGGTCAAAAATGCTGAGTGAATCATTGAGGAGACCCAGAACTAGCTGAATCCAGAAGGAGGAACAGGTTGGTATACTCAGGATGCAAACACCTCTTGTGGCCCCAAAACAACTACAGTGGCAGAAATCATAGATTTGAGTTGCCTACCATCTCCACAGGGAGGCACGCTGCAGTATTCCCAGGTCACGGCTGGGTCTCTTGTGTAGCACCAGGGACGTTCATTCTCACCTCCTGGGTTGCGACAGTAATTCTCAGCATCAGACAGCTCAGGAAAAACCTGAGGAGTCCTCCTGTGCAAGTGGGGAGCCTTGGGGGAGGAAGCAAATTGGATTAGTGTTTAAGGATATTTTTTCATGCAGTTATTAGTAAAACACAAGAAAATAAAACAGTGAGTGAAGACAGGCAGAACTTTTCTTGAGATAGCCTGACAGAATGACAGAGAATGCATCTTGGCACAGGAAGGGGAACATGCAGATTGAAACATGATGCGATTGTGAAACACCAGTGAACTCAAGAATGAAGGCAACCTGTCCCCTGCTCAGCCCTTCCACTGAGACTGGGCTGCCTGGCTCTGGGAAACATGTTGGAAAAGCAGACCTTGAGCACAGCTCTCAGTTTGGTGGATGTCACACCAGTGCGCACCTGGTCACTCCACTTCTGGCAGGGAATGCCAGAGGCCGTGATGTTGGCCCAGCCCTGGTAAAACTGGCCATTGCCACTGTAGCAAGTCCCTGGGAGGGAAAAACAAAACAAAACAAAAACATTGGATCAAGGACTCACAAGAATAAATTTCATGTCCTTACATTAGAGCATGTGAAAATTAGCATCAGATCTAAAGCACATAACAGGACAAGACAACTGCAGGCTCGGCACTGCTTAGCCTCTTGTTTACACTTAAATGGATTTTGAGCTCAATGCATAAGATCAAATCTGGTAAAACTTCAAAGAGAGAACAGGAGCTCTTTCAGATATGCCTGTAATGGCTGAGCTGCGACTACCTCATGCACAGCACTTCCACACAGAAAGTGCAGGCAGAACCACACTGAACCCACCCATGCCAAACCAAGGCAGAAGGCAAATTGCAGCACCAGTTCCATGATTCACAGCCTACACTCTTAGAGGGAGACTACTAATGGGAATATGCCCATGTTCCTCTTGTAGATAGCAGAGGGCTGGGATACATAAAGTCCCATGGTGGTATCCCTTCTCCTGCTTCTGTACAGTGCTTGTCCTCTTTGAATGTTTGGAGACAGCCTGTGGTTTCCAGTATATGTGGAAACCATACACTGAAGGCAACTATGATCTCAAAGAATAGTATCAGTATAAAAACAATGTTATTTCTAATAAAGAATGTATAGTTCACTTTCCATACACAAGGCTTGTTCCGGCTGCAGAAAAATTAGCAGAAAATCTTGAGAGGATTTTAATACAGGAATATGGATAAATGTAGACACCACCTGTCTTCATAGGAGAGTTTACTGCATGCTGGCATAATCTAGGAACCAGGAGGACAGCATAGGAGATGCAGCCTTAAACAATTCAACACATGGTAGATAATCTTTTGTAAACTCGGCTGAGCAGGGGCCAGCATTCTGATTGACAGCATGCATTAGGGTCCACTGCATTGTTAACCTTGTTAGACAAACTAACAAGCCAGCAAATACTGTTGTCATAATTTTATTTTCTATTATGGTCATAAACTTGCAGCTCAGGAAAAAAAAAAAAAGAAAAGCAAGAGGAAAACTGATGTATTCTAAAATAATGATTTTTAAGCAAGTATTTTTCAGTATCATGTAAACTCTTTATAAGTTTTCATCCAAATTTGAGGCAAGGCTGTGTGTTTTAATTTATCCCTGCAGATTATCCTGTTTCTCCTGTAGGAGGACTATAGTCCATGCACTATGATGACTATCTGCTCTTTTCTTTTTGCATTACCCACTGCACTCAGGATTGCAGTTATATTTTGTTATAGATCCTTAGTTTTCTGAAGTTTCAGCAGACATCAGGCACTACACATGAGTAGGTAGAAAAACCACCATTAAATAGTTTGCTCCAGGTGAGTGAGCTTAAACAAAGGATCAAGTTCCTGTAACCCAAGACATCCAAACATCCCAGTATAGAAATTACTGTGGACTTCACAATAGCACTTAAACCCATCACAAATACAAAGTAAAATGCTCTAACATGGACTTCTTTGACTGATATGTAAATAACATTTATGGCTCACATCTGCAACAACCTAGCATCCCCCACATAACATAGCTCAGCAAAGGTGTAAAATCTTGTTAAGCTGCCCTGGTACATACTTGTGTGCCTGAGCCCAGAATTTTACATGTCTCTCATTCAAAGGAAAAGAAAGCAATGCCTGGAACATGCCTCATGATGAATATGAAAAAGATTTCTGCAAAGATCTGAAATAAATATAAGTGTGACACCCTAGAGGATCAATGTGGAGAGTTTTAGGGTTAACAACACCACTAAGGAAGCAACCCTAAGTCCTTTGTACTCTGGAAAATGCAGATGCTTTCATAGATTGTCTTTCTACAATGAGGACAGGGGAGAATAATAAAGGTGGTCCACCTGACTTACAATGAATAATTTGATGGCAAGCTAGAAGACAGTTTGGTTCATGTTTCCCAAACCCTTGTGCACACAACAGAGGCTCTAAAGTAAAAAAGAGGGGGCAATATTACTAAAATGTTACTGTCTTCCTGATTCGTGACTGAATAGTGCACATCTGTGCAATGCCTCTCTGGGAAAATGCTGTGAAAGCTGAACAGAAAGGTCATGCCTTTACACAGAACACAGAAACTATGTTCTGAAGTTGCAAACATCTCAGGGGAGTCTGAAACCACCCCATGAATGCACCACTCATTGGCTGGCACTGCTGTCTTGAGGTCCTTGCGTCAGGGAGGGGATGGCTACACCTGAAGGCTGTAGGCACTAGGCAGCACTGATGGAGAGACTCTTCTTTTCTTTCCAGTGAGACAACTTCAGTGGCTGAGCTTGAAACTGCAGTTGTGTGTCTGTGGAAGAGCTAGATGTGAGTGTTCCAGCCATGACCAGCAGCAGGGTGAGAGGCTAACAGAAGTCATAGCAGCACCACAGGAGATGTCTTGGTCTTACCATTGGTCATAGGGAGGTTGCATGAGAAACAGCCAGAATTCAGAGGTAATTTGAGGAAAGTGAGCCAGACTTCAGAGATAATTTGAGAAAAGTGCTGGGATCTTTTGGGTATTAAGGTCTTGCAAGGCCAGCCTGACATAGGTAACCCAGTGTGTAGCAGCATATAAGGCTAGGATAACCTCAGCAGCAGTATCAGAAATACCAAATATGGGTAAAGCAGAACTAGAAGCAAGTGGTAGAGAGAAAAGGAAACAGCTGAAGCGGAATGTACCACCTAAAAGCACCATTCCACTCCCATCATCTTCAAAAGTTACCAGCACGTATTTCCCCCAGACTCTGAAGAGCTGGAAATGTGTTTCCCCGTGCCTTGGATGTGGTAACTCAGACATTCCCTGGTAATCACCCAAATTCAGCCAGCCAGGCCAGAGAAAAACACAAAATTACTGTGCAAACTGCATATTCAATGAAGAGTATCATGTCCACCTTTAAAAATACAGAACCTGGAGCAGTCTACTTACTGGTTATATTCTCCTTCTTAAAATCTGTAAAAAGAAAAGACAAGATGTAAGGAGGGATTGTCTAGGATGTAGTATAAGTGGATGCTTACTTAGGAGTTATAGGAAAAAGTTCTCACCCTAGCAGTGTTTAAACAACTTGTTTCTTTGCAAAGGCACCTGAATGGCAATTTTGCCATCATTAAGACTGTTTTATGAAATTGTTATGATCTTCTCAATAAGGATCCAGGTTTTATTTACTTGAGAGATTTCTCCCACACCCCAGTTGGGTGAGACAGAAAATCACCCAATGCAGCTGCCACAATTCCATGCACAGATGCTGACAGGACGGTACCCATCATTAGCTTTTACTTTAGCTGCAAGTTATGGATCTCATCCTTCCCTCCTCCCTTACCAAGAACACAGGTCTCTGGACAATGGGCAGCATGTGCCACCTTACCAAAGAAAGGGATGTGGGTGCAGGAGCTGGGGTCCTCATGCAGGCTGGGCAGTCTGTTGCATTCAGGAAGAGTGAGCAACATCAGCCCTGGCTTGTAAATCCCCTTCTGAGAGTTTTCCTCCATTGAGAGCCATTCCTTAAAGCAGTAGAGATCCTTTACAGCAAGGCAATTCTCTCTACATTATTTTGCAAAAAACAGTGAAATACAGCAGTCAATAGCTTGATAACAATAGCTGCACTTAGCTGGGATATGCAGGGGTTATGCAGGCTGACAGAAATCCATTAATAGAGTCACACATCTTTAAAGCCAGTCTGTCTGGCTCATAAACCATAAAGGAAACTGTATGAAATGTAAGAGCTTCCTTTAGGAAACAAACAAAACCACATTTTTAATAAATCGGGGTTATGCTCAAGACACAACTAACATCACAGTCTGTGAGGAGTTCATTCTCATCTTTTCATACAGATTTTTTGATGTTGTCTACTAGTAAACATCAGAGAATCATAGAATGACTTGGGTTGGAAGACACCTCAAAAATAATTTAGTTTCAACCCCCCTGCCATAGGCAGGGACACCTTACACTAGACCAGGTTACTCTAAGCCCCATCCAACCTGGCCTTGGATGCTTCCAGGGATGAGGCATCCACAACTTTTCTGGGAAACCTCTTCCAGTGCCTCACCACACTTTCAATGAAGAATTCTACATTATACCTAATCCAAACCTACTCTCTTTCAGTTTGAAGACATTCCCCCTTGTCCTGTCATTACATGCTCCTGCAAATAGCCTCTCACATGTCTGAAGTTTGAAATTTTCAGTACATTTTGAAAATCTCACCTGTCTTTTCTAAATTAACATGTCATCTATTAAAAGCAAGAAATGAGCTGCAATTCTTAATTGTCTTAAATTAAATATTTGCCTGTATTTTTAATGTCACAGAATCACTCATTTGATTATCTTCTTTTCTCCACAGACAACTTTCTCTTTTTTCTGTGTCAGCTCTCTGCAGCAAAAGCTTTAGAATGCAAAAAAGAGACTTGTCTATGTATTACCTACCACATAACAATGTGAAACATCCACTGACAAGAAGTGCTTTGGATGTTTAAATGGGCCTTACATGAGAAAGTCTTTGCGATGAAGGACAAGG